CAGAAAGAAAATGCATTTGCAGGTCTTGTTATATTTAGGTTACAAAAGAAAATAGCTAATATATGTAGAGGTCAGAAGATTGTCTGCATTCACTGATTAGGTTTTACGGAATATTTTGGCAGGGGCTTTGCTGGTAAGGTCACTAACAAGCCAGTTAGAAGAGAGAAGTAGAAACACAATACAGAGACCATTCCACGTTGTGTTCAAGATCTCCCACCTACACCAGTAAACAAAGAGTGCTTCTTACATAAAAATATACACTTGAACATCTCTAAGGTGATGATTAAGACCCTTTCTTGTGCTTTTTTAAGACTAATTGTAAGTTTATTATTTAAAGCACTTCTTGCTGACACCATCTAATAACTGCGTGATGTGGCTAAGTCTTTTAATTAGGCAATAATATATTCAGGTCCCTGGGATAGAAACTAAACCACAATCACAGCAGTAACCTCCAGAAGTGGACAAAATGCTGTACAGATGTTTCAAAATCACAACAGGTCCATCTAATGCATATCTAATCCAAAGCCAGCAAAGGTTACTGCACGCCTCGTAGGAGTTGCAGGCAAGAGCACCCTCAGGCTCAGTTGCAGGCAAGGCGCTTTCTCCGGGGCAGATTCAGGATGGGGAACATGCTCCAACTGCTGATAAGGACCACCAGAAGCTTCACATCCATCTGAGTGTAAGGTGGCTTTTTTAGATTTGCCTCCTCTATACGGCATTTATACTAAAAAACATACAAAGAAATCCGAATACCAATACCAACCCAAGCCCCTCCACATTGCACACTCAATGCTTCCTCTAGAGAGATGATGGAAAGGAAAATGATCCCTCCCATGGCAAAAAGCAGTGACTTAAAACATTCCTGGGAGGCATCCAGATACTATACTGATCCTACAGTATGTAGAACAAAATAGCTTATCATTCAGATTATGCTCTTGGACAAAGCTGGATAGCTTCAAGGACGAGGGAGTTACCCTAGATCAGCACCGTAAATGTTTTTATATATGAAACAGCTGCAAGATAAATTCTTTCATATTACACATAGGTATAGTTGTACTTTCAGCTGTCTCACTGTTGAAATATTGTATGTCTTACACAGATTTCTCTATTTGTAACATGCACTTACAATTCTTAGTTGCATACGAATGAGTAAACCCTTACATCTGCAGTGCATTGAAAAAAAAAAACAATATCAAGCCAGATCAGTGGCAAGAGCCAGGGCATCGAGCTCCCAAAATTCTTCATACGAAACATTCCTAAAAAATGAACTTGGTAAACAGGGAAAATATTTTACTAAAGAAACTAAGAAAAGTCTGTTAGTTAAATGAATAGTGCTATTAAGAGAACAAAGCAGCTTCACCGATTCAAAAGTATGCTGCTAATGACCTTTTTTTGCACTCTTCACCTCTCTCCTATTTTTCCTTTTCTTTTTTGAATCATCCGAGAGAAATCTTCCAAAACCTCTTCAAGGAAATAGTCTATAGCCACAAGACTTTGTGCTAATGAAGCTTCAGAATTATGAAGCCAGAGGTCAAGAGCACGTCTTCCACAACGTCTGGGCAGAATTTGAAATTAAAAGGCCTGTTTGTCTTAGAGTAGAGGATGAGTAAAGCAGGGGAAAGAATAGACTCCAAATGAAAAGCTTACTAGCAGCAGAAAACATTGACTATTGAGAAAATCTGTAAGCTAACCTAGTTACTGGTGCCTCAGCAGCCATGTTAGTACTGACTGAAAAGCAGCCCATCATGTTATTTTCTTTTTTGATAACCCACATGAAAATCCACCTACCCAATACCAAACTAAGCCAAATAAAGGAAAGAGGAGAATGACAGAGTGACAGAGGCACTGTTTCTGTTCCAGTTGCTGACTGACAACACTGCCATCCCTTAACATGGTTTTATTTAGTTATTACAACCATCTCTCTGTAAATGACACTTAGGATTATTTAAGATTATGTTGTAATCCTTTTAATCCTCAGTGCTTTAAATTTCAGGCTAAACACCAAAGAGCAAACTAGCACTTAGCAGAAATATTTAAAGCATGTGATTTGAACATAAATCTTCTTTTATTCACCACTCCTCTGATGAAGACCTAGTGTATCGCGTCATTCAGCCAGCAAGAACAAACAGCACGGTATCTCACTGCAAACTGCTACTTTTCCCCACATCATGTGAAGCTGTTTCTAACCAGCTCTTTTCCTTGGTACTAGCTATATCATCAATAAAATAAATGAAGGAAAATCAGAACATTATATTTTATAAGATATGCATATTTTCAGCTACTATTAAGGAAAACCTGAGAAAAACCCCACGTAATATGTTCATCAAGAGCAGAAATAAATTGCATGCACAAATTGGATAGTGTGAGAGACAGATCAGACTTATCCTGTTAAACAGGGAGTAGCTCAATTAAAATGAGTGGAGTAACACTGCTGAAAACCTCATGATCAAGTCCAGAAACCCAAATCTTCCTGCCTGAATATCATTTACTTGCAGTTTCCTCTTTTTTTTTCCTGCATCGATCATGTTTCCAATTAGTTTTCTTTATGATACTCCTATACTCTATCTTCTTGTTACCATCCATTAACTGTCATACGCTTAGATTTTAAATTCAAGATTTCCTTCTTTTTCTTCAAACCAAAATCTCAATAGTCATTTTCTATTTCTAATCTATAATTCATGAACTCAAATTGAGCACCCAGGCTAAATCAAACTCAAAATTCTTCATCTACTCCTAGTACAACACATTAACTGAAAGCAACCATTGCTCTGTTTGAATCAGGAAAGAATGTTTTATTATTCAGAAAGTAATGAAACAAAACCCCACCAACTATGCTTTGTTGCTATGCTTTGAAGTTATAATCATATTTATTTCTGATCATTTCAGAGTTAGGCAGCTAATGTATTTAATCAAATAGCAATGCAATGCATCTATATTTAGGTCGCAAAAAAAAAAAAATTAAAAAATCACCCATGTTCTTTTCATTTGAACAAATCTATGAATAAGTAGACTTATATTATCAATCTTATTCCCACCCACTAGGGATAAGTAGATCATCAGAAGTGTTTCCTGAAATATTCAGTATCCAGGTACAAACTGACCTCTCCGCTTTCGAACTCGCCTTGGATTTCCTCCAGACTATCTCATAAATCTTCACTCTCTCTCTAGTCCCCTTCCCACTCTATCTGCTCATGTAGCACCAGTCTTGTTCAGTCCTTTCCTTTCCCAAAATGTCACCACTACTGATGCCAAAGCCTTCTCCTCTTTCACTCTTACCATCTGGCATAATCTTCTTGTAGCTCTCTGTCTAAACAATGCTCCATCCCTTTTCAAAATGTGTTTTAACATATGTCCTTCCTCCCATGCTTTTACTTCTTAATGTCTCTCCCACTCACTTATTGGCTTGATGAAGACACGTTTTAATGGGTTCAAACAGTAGTGCACAAGTTTCCTTTCTCACATTATTCTGATTCAGTGGAGTTACACCTCACACTAACAGAAGTGAGAAGAAAATGCATTGCAAAGTCTTCATACAACCAGTTTGGTAAATCAATAACAGAGCTTCATTTGTCTTTACGTTGGAAATGTATTAGCTGCTATGAATCATCACTCCAATATGCATTTCCAAACAGAAATTTTGCTTACTGCAAAATGAGAAATAAACCCTAGAAGCTCAGAAGACCTGTCTGTGCTCAGGGGGTTGCAGGAGTGAAGGCTAAGGTTATGCTTAATCACATTCCAAGTGAAAAAGCTGAAGATTGACAGCAAAACCAAAATATTTATTCTAAAAATACCTAGGAAATGACAAAGCTCCAAGTGTTGTCTCAAGACAACCTGAAGGATGTGGGGGGTATAGAAGCGTAAGTCTCACTGTCTTGAAGAAGAGGAATATTTCTAAATATTGCATGCGCTTTAGAAAGATGTCTAGAAAAATAAACCTTGAAAAAGTCTCTGTAACACCCAGTTGACCCAAAGAGGTTCCTTTTCAAAAAACCATGTACAGTCCCTTAGGGTTTTTTTTGTGTGTGGTATTTTTTTTTCCTTAAACCCTAGACCCAGGCACAGTTGGTTCCTCCAGCATGTTTCATTGGTCATGATGCCAAAGGACTATCTGGTAACTAATAGTATCTTGACCCTGACATGTTCCCTTTTGTGTCTCTCCTCCCTTTATTGTTTGTATTGTTAAAAATTCTTAATGTTAGAACTCTGGGAAACAACTCAGTTCATAGAGAATAAATTTTGATGTGGTTTGATGCAACTTTTAGTGAAACAAAAAAGCCCCCAACCTTTCTATTGATATTCATGGGAGCTGGATTACATCCAAAACCTGATGATGTTGCAATAAATATTTTAACCCCTAGATCCTGGAATGTTAACCTTGCAGTAACGCTTTTCTTGTCCTTTCATCTTCTTGGGCCTTGATCCTCCCTTTCAATTCAATGGGATTTAGATGAAGTAATTCAATAATATTATTTTCCATCAATGAAGAATAGTCCTATGAGAAATACATATCTTTCTATTCTGGCCCTGACAGAGGCAAGCTTTTAAAATCCTCCCCTCCCCTCCCAGAACTGAACCTGGGTCATCACCGTCTGAGGACCCTGAACAGCAATAAAAATAAACAGAGTAACCGCACTGTGTTGGAGCAATGCTTTTATAAGCAGTTTGAAGAAGTTGTGTTTATGGAAGTCCTTTAGGTCAAGATTCTAGGCCTGAACCCAAAGCAATTACCTACTAAGTTTTAAAAACAAATTGAATATAGAGCATTAATCAATAAATCAACAGGTTCTCAAGTGTTTAGGAGACTCAGTCATCAGAAATCTTTCTCTTAGAAAAATAGTAAACTGATGCTTGATAAAATGTTACACTCCTGTATTGGTAACAAAAAAAGCTGTATTAAATCAGTCTCTAGTTATTAAACCCAAGGAAATAAACCTTACCTCTTAACTTAACAGAGTTTATACTCAAATGAGCAATGAAATGTATGCATTGCCTCTTACCTGAAAGACATTCTTTCTGCTGGATTTCTCAGAGGTCCACTCAATGCGAGCACCACACAAATCCACACACTCGGGTTTATATCCTGGTTTCTGGAAAGAAAAAAAAAAATCAACCATGAATATGGCCTGACTTTTCACAAACTGGGATAGTTATCAGATAAAACAAGAATAGATCAAGTTCAAGTGACAGATTATTGCAGCACAGCTGCTGATATTACTGAAAAGAGTTCATTATTCCCTGGTATTATTAAATAACCACTCCTGAGGTGTCTTAACTCAGAAATAAGTTTCTTATACTAGATACAAAATTTTAAAAATAGATGGTTTAAAAAACAGTCTAATATAACATACAATAGATCAAAACACAAATGCATACACATTGACCAGATATTTTAAATGCTTACTTTGCAAAACCTCTTGAAAAGCCATTGGGTTTAAGGGTAAAGTTTTGTGGGTTTTCCAAATGCAAATTTAAACTCTTACAGCTGGAAAGGAGAGAAATTAGACAAGAACATACGTTGTATCTGCAAGACAAGCTATCTCCTTCCTCCAAACAAATTATCATTTCTAGCTCCTAAAGAAAAAAAAAAGGTTTCGAGGGCATGGTGACACCCAGAAAGAGCTCAACACTAGGGTAGCTCCACAGTTTGCTATTTCGCAACGTCAGTTCGTGCATCCCGGAGTGACACAGCTCTGCCTCCCCTGCTCCTCCGTACGGATGCAAATAATTCAAAGAGCAGATTTGTTTGCCTGTATCATTTACGTTGCTGGGAGTTGGTGTAAAGTGCAATAATCCTCATTTGCCATCTAAGCTCCTTCTCCAGGGACTCTGCCTGTGCAGCAGTTTTGGCAAAGCCCATGTAGTTTAAAGTAGCCTTTGTAGATTAGGTTACTGCACATCCCAGACAACAATAAAAATACTACTGTTAACAGTATAAAGCACTAATAAGTCCTTTTGGGTAAGATATGGAGTAATATCCACATAACATATTAATCAGCCTAATGCATCTTTTTTGCTCTGTTGTTCTTAAGCCATTTTACCTTAAAAAAATGGCATTGGTGATAAAGAAAATGGACTTAATAGAAGTTAACGGTGCCCAGTCCAGCATCAACCAAATGATCAGCTTCCCAAAGATTGCTCACTGAATTTCTCTGATGTTGTTATTAAAGGCTAAAAAAACCCCGTGTTCCCCAGGGTGTTTCTGAGATGGGTAGGAAAGGACCTGTTTAGGTTAAAAGAAGCAGAGTATGATATCCTAGTCAAGTAAGCTGCAGCCAGAGTCTCTGGCAGTTTTCAGTACTGGAGTTGTAATTATGTTCTCCATTTGCCAAACCATAAACCCACCATGGTTCAGCTCCTCTAAAACTGACAGTCTTGTGTGCCTTTGTTCCTTTTTTTAATTATTTTAATAGAAGAAATATGTTGTTCAAACCAGAAGGATGTTCTTGTGTCTAAACCACTGGAAGAGCAGGGTTTGGATTTTTTTCCCCAACTCTGCCTCAGACTTCCTGCCTGGCCTCTGACAAGAACTTAATCTTTCTGAATTTTTAATAACAGATCAAAACAGCAGTATTGGTAGTTGATTTTAAAAAGATGCTGTGAAATTTAATCAGTTAATATTTGCATCACAAAAGTAACAAAGTTGGGAAAAAAAAAAACAAAACACCAACAACCAGACAAACACCAAGCTATTAGTGCAAACAAATATTCAAATAGGGGGGAAAAAAGTAAATGAATTTTCAGTATTCCAGTAGTATACTTTTATAAATAGGGCTATGGTGCCTCCTTTGACTAGATCACTCTCCTTGGCCAGGAGATACCCCAGGGAAGTTTTCTCCCCAGGACTCCAAGCAATGACCAGGTCTGCACCGTACAGAGCAGGCAGCTCTGTAACCCATCATGAACACAAAACACAGCCTTGTCAAAGCGGGTCACCTTGCTTTCTTTGAAAAAAATTACCCAAAAGGACAGTTTGAGTCTGAAAATACTTTAACAAAGAAGGGCAGCTTTATTCCACTAGTGGAAAGAGTCAAGAAATTTTGGAAACACATAATGAGATGAAGAGATTAAAACACAGACAAAGAAACAGGAAATAGTTTCTTGATACTGAAGGATACCAGGCTACAGAATACTTTCCTCAGGAAAACTGCCATGGCATTTCACACTGAAGTGAGGGAAAAAAAATGGAAAGCCAAGGGAAGTTTTGCAGGAAAATGGAATAGTGAACTCTATAGGATTTTACCATCTCTAATTTCTATGATTGTACAAAAATGTATGCAGCAGCAGAACTTGGACTCCTCTGTGCACTCAGTGCACACACAGTTTAGTTTTGTTGTTGTAATCTGGAGTTTGTTTCCGGCTCTGATTTTGTAATAAGCAGAAGAAAATTATAAGTATGTGCATCTCCCTTTCCAGAAAGCATGGGATGAAAGCTCATGGTGCTGGAAAGACGAACACCTTTCTGCTATGTACAATAATCAACTGGAAAGCTTCTCTTTTGAAGAATTCAGCAATTCTGCACACAACGGGATATGAGGTGTCTACGAACACCATGTGAGACTCATGGGTATGGCATAGCATATGAAGCTTCTGATGAAAACTACATGCAAAACCATTCAGATCCATCAAGCCTGAAACTGTCCATCATGCACATCAGCCCTTCTTCTGCACCTGGGGAGCTCCACACAGTGAGAAGCCCTGCTTAAATCCATAGGGACCTCAGGAAAATTGCCTAGAAATTCACCCTAGCCTAAAGAAGAGGAGGCTGAGGGGTGACCTTATCACTCTCTACAACTACCTGAAAGGAGGCTGTAGTGAGGTGGGTGTTGGTCTCTTCTCCCAAGTAGTTAGCGATAGGACGAGAGGAAATGGGCTCAAGCTGCACCAGGGGAGGTTTAGATTGGATATTAGGAAAAATTTCTTCACAGAAAGGGTAGTCAAGCATTGGAACAGGCTGCCCAGAGAGGTGGTGGAGTCACCATCCCTGGAAGCATTCAAAAACCAGGTAGACGTGGCACTACGGGACATGGTTTAGTCTAGTCTACCCTTGATTGGTTTAGTGTGGACCTGGTAATGTTAGGTTAATGGTTGGACTGGATGATCTTAAAGGTCTTTTCCAACCTAAACAATTCTATGATTCTAAACATTGTCTTGTTACATAGTTTGCTTTCCAGTTCATGCATTACCCAGAGACACTGCAAGAGAGTGAGTTAAGGTTACTGGGAAAGCCTGAGCACTCTGCGTCCTTGCTTTGTGTTTTGCAGTCAGAGCAATTATGTTATATCAATGTTGTTGGAGGGGGTTATGCTGTAAATTGATACAAGTGTCTGCTACAATGAAATCTTCCTAAACATGAATATGGATTTCAGCAGCATTTTCACTCGCTAAATTACTTTGCAGATGGGCTAATAACCTGAGGTTAAAATAACCTCTGTTGAATAAAGTATCGCAGGGAATAAACAGTCTACTTTTTCTTGGTCAGAAAGACCCACTGATAATAGAATTTAATGCCGGTAAGAAAGAATGGAGCTGTGATCCATTTAGATCACAATGTCCTTAATTTAAAATAAAAAGCAAGTTATAGTCATCTGAATGCTAAAAATGTGTATCAAAATCATGACCACAAATGATCAAGGCAGCAGTAAAAGATAATGATTTAGCTACACGGGATGCAAACTTGCATTTCCAGTAATATTTGCAAATAAGCTCATTCGCTGATTCTCTCCTCTGTGTGGTTTAATTTTTGTGTTCTAACTATTACTAATAATAATACCAGATATTGTCACTAGCCTCACCAGAAAACTACGGATCTCAGTCTTCTCCATGCAAATCAATAGGAAAGTCGTTACAGCGAGTTCTACATCTACAATGGTACAAAGGAACAGCGAAAACTCCTTTTAGCTATTATTAGTTCTTTGCATTAGAATTTTTTTAAAGATTTTGGTAAATATAATCTTAAATCACTTCTAAATGTTATCATCATCAGAAGAGGTATGATTAGAATGTGCTTTCATTTCCCTCTCTCCTGTTGCCTTTATTGTGAAATATCATTCCTCTTATAATGATGCTGTCTTATTCTAAATTTTCACATCATGTACAGTATTTAATAATTAATAATTAATGAATTAATAGCTTTATAATACAAAGGAACATTAATCTTTCTGTTAAGTCACATCATTTTGCTGTTAACAATAGAAATGCTTTGTTATAAGTTATACTATTGTGAATGAACATTGCCTCTATTACATTATTTAATTAATGGTTGAGCTCTCCTTTTTCTAAAGTAAACTACATCTGGGGAAAAAAAAAATAGAATCAGTAAACAAATGATTTCTAATGAATTCTTTTTGCATTATTTCCTTTCCACTATCAAAATTATATCTGGTTAAATGGCTTACAAAGGAAATAAGCACTGCATTTGCTTTATCAGATGAGATCAACATGTTGGTTTAGCTTTTTTTGATGTGTGAAATTTGGGTTTAGGAAATTGGTTTATAAGATTTTGATTACTGACAGCTCTTGTTGTTGTCAAGCTTTACCAAATTTGTTTATTTACCATTGCATATAAGTTATATGCGGTAGACAGAAAATGTAACTTTAACAGCTTTTTCTCACCTAGTGAACATTGACTTCACAGCCCCAGTATTCAGATCTAGCATGGAATAAAAAAAAAACAACCTGCCAAAAAAAAACCCACCAAACACACTTTTATTTTTTTCCCCCATAACGAGCAAAATACAGGATCAATATGTCTGTGTTCTTCCTAACACAGGAGGCAGTAGATGTTACCTCACCAGCTGTGAGCACTGGGGATGAGGTGAAACTTCAGGGAACGGGACTGACTTCTCAGAAGATCCTTTCTCATAACACACCTTAATTTTTTGAGTTCAACAGACTGAGATGTGGGCCAGAGTGATATTCTCCCAGCGAGTCTACTTTAGTATCTAAATCCTTAAACCGCCAATGGGATTTAACCATGTGGAGGAGTCTCAGAGCAAAACTGAGTCTCAGAGCAAAATCAGGTCTCCTGTGTGTTGAATTTCTCCTGGTCCATTTATCTGCTGGGATTTGGGTGAGTGTTTGCAAAGAGAAAAGAGAAGTAGCAGCAGGTAGAAGTGTAAAACAGCTAGTAAATTATAAGATTAATTCTAATAAGTTCACCTGAGATTTTTTTTGTAAATAATATCTAATTCGACTTTAAGGAAAAGAGGTGATTCTGAAAAGAATATTAATTCAAGCCATACTGTTTTCACAGCTTCAGAAAAGTAATATTTTCCAGCTGTACTGGCACAAACATGAGCAGAAAGTACCAAACTTCATCCTTTACTTGCTTTTATTATTTCATCTATTTTTATTTTTCTGTGACCCTCATCTTCTTTCCAAAAGAACAAGGCATGAAAAGGTGTTCTTTAAAGCTGATTTTATTATGGCAGGTGGCATTGATAGATCAAGAATATATAAAAGAAAAGGTTTGTATCACCTGCCATGGAAAAAATAGCTTATTGTTTGTGACTCCTGCCAAAGAGAGCACCTTTGTGGCCACCCATCACGCCAATGAGATTTGGCAGGTTTGATCAGGCCTTGAGAGCCTTTCACAGCGGGGCTTTGTCAAACCTGTCCCTTTGCTGCCCACAGTGTCACGCATTTACTGAATTCCCTTTTTGTTGCCCACATTCAGGTTCGTAGGCTCAAACTCGCAGTAACTAGCACTGCAGGGATACGTGCCGTTACTGCTTGCACAATGTAGCTGTCACATCTCCGAAGACTAAGATCGGTGGTCTTTCCTTGGGGCACAATAAAAAGGTACTGCAAATTTCACTTTGTAGTAACTACAGGCTACAGAAATTGCATTAGCTGCGTTAGATGGAGTCATAGAAATATTCAGGAAGGTTAGTGGGATATGGTAGATGTCACATTTGTACTACGATAAAAAAATCACTTTGCTAACTTATAATGTTTTCTGCTTTGGTAACACCCTGTATTAAGGTGCCATTTATAAATAATTTATTATTATTTATTAATGTATAAGGAACTTTATAGGATGGTAGATAACAACTTAAATTCATGTATTAAAGATGCACATACATGGTTTAATACAATTTACATCTCACAATATCCTTTGCAACGGATTCTCATCGCATCATCTGTTAAGCATTTATTACTAATGCATTTTATAACATACTTTATAATATATTATTTGAGGAAGTAGCTGCATTTAGTGATCATTTTCATGAATAAGAATAAAGCATTTATAAATGGCACCTTAATTTAAAGTGTTACCTTCACATTACTGGATAGTCACTCACCATTTGTCTCACTTTGCAATTATGCTCAAAATGCACCTCTTAATAAAGGACATGCTAAGTCCTATTTCTTCTCATACACCACATCTGATTAAAGGTTTATCAAGGCATTTTCCTTCAGCAGCTCTCAAACCTCTGAAGGTTGCCAGCTCAGTCTGAATTTGTCTTATGTAAACACTGAACTTTTTATACTGAAATAACAGTTGCAATGAAGCCAAGTATATTGGATGGTTGATTGCCTACCAGGTTGGCCAGAGCCGGCTGCTTGGATTCTTTGTAGAATTCCATTTTCCGAGCTGTGAGAACAACCCAGGACGTGGACCAGTTTTTCCTTAAAAATAAAATAAAAATTAAAAAAGGAAGAGTTAGCAAGGCATGCAAGCAGGAGGTAAAAGATGCTCCATTTGTAGGCTTGGGTTTTAATTATTTCATTGCAGAAACAAAAATGGTCCTAAGTCAATATCAGCCATGCACTTTCACCAATATTGATGAAGCTGCACCATCTAAATTATACCTGAATGTGGCCCAACAAAACTTGAAGGCCTTCTTTCTCCTCATTCATGTTTTAAAGCCTATCTATGTTCCTTTTCCACCAAGGTGCCTTAATCACAGGAAAACAGTGGGATTATTCACACATGCTTAAAGTTCACATATACTTAGAGGATTCCAAAAGCTGGTGCCCTTCTGGTAATTAATATTTAAAATAGAACTGAGAAGGAAAAATGTAATTTCAATCTGATTATAAGGAGGTCAGCAAAGGGTCTATTTTGAAAGGTCCCAAATACTTTCTCCTTTCCCTAAATAAAAAATTTACCGGAGAGCAAGGAATAAGAACAATATCTGGGGCCCTCAGCACAAGAAGGACATGGAGCTGCTGGAGCGGGGCCAGAGGAGGGCCACCAAAATGCCCCGAGGGCCGGAGCCCCTCTGCTGCGGGGCCAGGCTGGGGGAGCTGGGGGTGCTCAGCCTGGAGAGGAGGGGGCTGCGGGGAGGCCTGAGTGCGGCCTGGCAGTGCTGAGAGGGGCTGCAGGAAGGGGGGGGCAAGCTTTTAGCAAGGCCTGTTGGGACAGGACAAGGAGTGATGGGTTTAAACTAAAGGAGAATAGATTCAGACTGGCTATAAGGAAGAAATGTTTTACAGTGAGGGTGGTGAGGCAGTGGCCCAGGGTGCCCAGAGAGGCGGTGGAGGCCCCATCCCTGGCACCATCCCAGGCCAGGCTGGACGGGGCTCTGAGCACCCTGCTCTGGTTAAAGCTGTCCCTGGCACTGCAGGGGCTGGGCTGGGTGGGCTCGGAAGGGCCCTGCCCACCCAAACCATTCCATGATTCTGTCTGAGAGATGTTTAAGTAACCATTAAACATCAGGAGTTCATGGTACAGCCCTAGAGAGCTGGCAGACTGCTGGGGCTAGGGAAAAGTCAAAATACACCAACAGTATGTGAAACAGTGTCTCCTGACACAGAAGAACATAATCAACCCAGAAGAAAATGTTTTTATATATATTACCTATAATGTGATGTTTCAAACCACTGCATAGTCATAAACAAGTAGATCTGGTCTGATAGAAAACTATTTTTAGATCAAAGTCTCAAGTTTGGGCCTCTTATTTAAGGGTCATAACACCTGATATTTACAAAAATACTCAAAATGCACTATTTTCTTTTTGTGAATGCAAATCACAAGTTTAAGCATTTTAGAATAAACTTGAAAATGTGTATGATAAACAGGCTGTTTCACATGTATGTTGCAGTGCGTTAGAAAGGAGGGAGTTGCCTGTAAGGACACAGAGGGCCCAGGAAGGAGCTGTCAGAAACCCTTTTTCCTCTCTTTTCTTTAGTCCCTTTGAGTTTTCTCTGTTTAGGTATTCCTAAGTAGTTCAAACACACTCATTTTTTATTCCAGCAAAACCTGGCTTTGTTGAGTTTTAAAGACTATCGGTCTTTGCAATGCTCACTTCCAGATCCATCTCACAGCTCTCCTGCACTCAATATCCCATCAAACTGCACATCAGGCATAACAACAGGCAGTTTTTCTATTAATTTTTTGCCTATTCAATATGTTTCAGTCATCAGCTTAAGGAGCATAACCAATATTTCAGATGAAGCCCTAACGCCACTGACGTTGTCAGAGGAACTTGCACTCACTTCAGGGGGGGCAGGATTTCGCTCAGCATGATCTAATGATCATGCCCAAAATATGGCCAACAAGAGGCAACACTGAAAGAAAGTCTCTGTAGAGGAGATGAATATGTCTGAAGAAAACAGAACCGCATTTTTTATGCCATTTTAATGGGAAAACAACAAAGAGAGAGACATTGAGAAAGAGAAAGACACAGTAGGGTTTTAGAAAAGTACCTGACCATCACCGGCAAATATTTCCCCACAAAAGGACAGTGTTTGTAAGTGACACTGAAATTTTCAGCCAAATTTATTACCACTGTAAAGCTGTATCCTTAGCTAATGTGAACTATGGTCATAGCTGTGGATTGTGCATATTGGCATTAAGAACGGTTCAGCCTCAGCTAATTAATTTTTAAAGTACGCTTAGGAAACAAGTGCTGTAGCTGAGAATCACCATGAAGGTAGTGAATACAAGTTGTCTGTTGATAAGTACAACTTCAGTTCTTTTTAATTTTCTTCTTTTTTTTTTTTTTCTTACTCATAAGAGGTCATGTAAGTGCACAGGGGAGTAAGTGGCCAAGCATGCTATGTGCCAGTTTAAACAGATTTTCCTATGAGTTGCATATCCTGGATAAATATGGATTATGAAAGGATTAAAACCCTTGGGACACCGTTTAGATTCAGTACCTAACTTACACCAAATGCTTGACATTAGCTATGGAGGAGAACATTTCTGTGTCATGGCCACTTCTACCAGCCAGAGTGCTGCTTGCTCCAGCTATTCATGGGGCAGGTTTTCTACCTGAGACATACAAATCAACAATTGCATTTTGAGGTCCCAAACCTGTGTGCAATCTTCTTAAAATGTTCAAATTTCTGATCAAACTAACTGGGAAGTTTGTCAAGATTTGAAAACATTTCATTTCAACCTGGACCTCATAAAAAAAAAAATACAGTTCTATTTATGGTTTTGAAATAAGAAGTCAACAACAAAGAAATAAAAAGTCAATGATAAGCATTTCTTAAACCATATCAGGTGAGAAGCTTTATCTAAGTTTCATTCTGAATTTTAAGGAAAGAATGCTTTAATTCCATCAGGAATAAGAAAATATACTGGTTTGGCAGGAGACTATAGGAATTATAGAAGCTATGAGAATGCAACTCAATTTCACCGTATTATCTGCAAGAATATTTTTTTCCCCTTAAATTTAAATTCCCCAGTTCTTTTATTCTAGTTGTTTCATTTAAAAAGTGACATTTTAAAATCAAAAGTTCATTACTTCTGTGACCTAAAGATAAAAAGTATATAAACTAGTCAATCTTTTTATGAGTTTGTCCATAAAGTCATCAGTGAGATAAAAAAATAAAAAATAAAAAAATGCTTTGGGGTGTATTACTCTGTACAGATGGGCACACACCGTATTTCATGGGATACATGCAGCGACCTAAGGTTTTCAAACTCTTTGGAAGAGTCAGTTCACAATATTCTGATTTTTGCCATGCAGCACCAACGTTATTCAAGAAATCACTTCCAGCCACTGAACAGCAAGTTCAGGTAAGCGAAAGGAGTCAAAGTGAGTAGATGAATCCCCACTACCCATCCTCTCTCTGTATAAAGAGCCATAAAGATCAATATGCAGAGAAGACCCAGCTAGAATTAAGAAGGGTATTGCATGAATTCGTCTGTGGCTACAAGGTTAAAGTCATGGTTGAAAGCCGCTGCCTCAGAGCCCCGGCGAGGTGCGACCCGACTCGTGGGGGCTACGAAAGGAGCCCCGGGCGCTTGCGGCTGCATTTGCATTCTGTCAAACGAACACCTGATGGCAGCACGTTATAGCTTCAGTGGTGCTCACAATCTCGGAGGCTGTTTAAAAAATATGAGACTGTTCGGGGATATTTAAAAATGCAAGTGGCCGAGCTACGCTGCCTCCTCCCTGTGCCCATGCCGAGCCGGCGCGCAGCGCCAAGCCATGGAGAGGCTTTGCGCTAAGGGCACCCAACACACTGGGAAGGTTAAACTCCCTCCTTGTCTGGGCTTGTTCACAGGTGATGCCCAGCCTACGCGCACACTACAGAAGCTTCTGTCACTGTCCGAAGTGAGGAATAAAGTATTACTGGCTTCAATGCCTTTTCCCAAAATGCAAGTTACAGCAGTCTCTGATGGCAGCTGCAGCAGGCTTGGCCAAGCATTGACGATGTTCTTGTTTCAAGTGAGAGGTTGGACTAGGTGACCTCCAGACTCCCTTTTCAATGAGCATTTCTAGGATCCTTACGGTTTAGCGCTATATAAGTATGAGAACTTATTACTCGGCTCCTTTCTCCAGGCAGAAAAAGTAATATTTCACATTACTCTCTCATTCTCATTGGCAACATATGGTGCTGGTCATATCACTGCTACTCCTTTACAAGCATCTAAATATAGCAAACCATAGCAAATCCTTCCATAAAAGGCAGTATTAAGATTTCCATTGCCTTCAACACAAAGAGTGCTAAGCGAGTAAGTGCTGACCACTTTTGATAATCTTGCCTTGGCATCCCTGTGGCATCACCATGTGGTGGGTTCCTACATCCCATCCTTGACCCCTCAAACACACGCTCAGCACCAAAAATTTGCCCATTGGAAAATATATTATTGGTTTCACTAGTGCCTTAAGGCTGTCCTTAATATATGTATAATATATATAATATAGAGGCTAATATCGACACATGCTCATTGCATGCAATGAGTCCATTAGCTGCTGTCACTTGGTTTCTGGGACTGTAATCATACATTGGCTTAATACTGAAACAATAGCAATTTGGCTATTAGCAGCAATAGTAGCTGTATTTACTTGAACATGCATCAGCTTTGAACTTGGCAACTGATAAGTTCTGTAACATTCACATATAATACCTTAATTTCTTGCCACCGTCTGCAATTTTAGCTTTTAGAAGATATCCTTCTTTCTCCACTACCTACAAGAAAGAAAAAAAAAAAACAACAAACACCATGTCATAACCATGTAATTTATTCAGATGAATGAGTTCACTTAGTACATGCGTAAGGGTCTGCATCCAGCTAATCTAGTGTGGGGGCATTTATCACTAATTCTCAGTTTAGCCACCTATTTTTTCCAATAGAGTCAGTTCTTTTGAAAATTTGCACGTTAAAAGTCAATTAGTACACAGAATTAACCTCAAAAAAACCCCCAATAACATTCTATTTGTTGATTTAGAAGAAATTTCTTTTAATGCAAGCAAAGTTTCTAGCTATAAGTAAAAAATGAGTGAAAAATATATTGCAAGTAAATTTTGTCGAGGTACCATTTCATATATTGAGTTCCAGGAGACCACGTTTCATTAATAGCTATGAAGGACACACCATACTTCTGTAAAAGACTCTTGCTTCTTATGTTCTAAAGAGAGTCATGTTTAGGGGTAACCAATGTCAGAGAAACGTTAAACATTTGTACAACAGGAAAAGCTACATTGCCTTCGTAGGTGCCACATTTTGCTTTGAGTCAGCACTAAATCAAGGCTCATGCAAAATGCTAAAAGGCATCATGCTTTTAAGTGGTGCTGTCTTTCAGATGAGCTCCGGTACTGAGGCGCTCACCCCTCACAGCCCTTAAAAGGTCACACTTCACTGGAGTGTGTGCATCCATGTGCAGGGAGAACTTGTCTTCAGGTTTCCAGCTGAACTAAATTATCTCATAGCATGGCGCAGAAAACCGAGTTGAGCTGTTCTGTCACTTCCCGACATACAATCTGAAACTAGAGTTATAAACAAGGGAAAGCACAGCTGTGTTGGGCATTTTCTAAAACACACTCAAAAAGGCAAAGCCCTTAGCTATTACCTGTAAAAAGCAGTATGTGATATTAGCAGCCTGATATCACCTTTGTAGATCCCATACTCTGCTACTGCTATTACTGAAACCTGGTCCTTTCTCTGTGGTGTTAGAACGGGCTAAAGGCTCTGCTGGCAGACACGAGGCTGCAACCCTGGTTGCAGGGTATCAAGGTTGTGCTCGAGTTTTGGGATATTAGACACAAGTCCTAGGCTTGGTCTTTTGTTTTCATTTCATTCTCTCGATTTGTGCTTCTCCACATCTCTGCACCATTTCCCTTGAGCCAGAGGCCCTTGCAGACAGTTGGTTCTCTATGGCCTGCTAAAACATCCCTTGGAGAGCTGTGATATTGCACTGGTTTTGGCTGGGGTAGAGTTAATTTTCTTCACAGTAGCCGATATGGGGCTATGGTTTGGATTTGTGCTGGAAGCAGTGCTGATCACAAAGGGATGTTCCCGTCACTGCTGAGCAGTGCTTGCACAGAGCCAAGGCCTTTTCTGCCTCTCACCCCACCCCACCCCACCCGCCAGCAGGCTGGGGGGGCACAGGAGATGGGGGGGGACACGGCCCGGGTA